TATCAACGGAGAAAAGATTGAAGTTGTCAAGGGCTTCATTTTTCTTGGATCAATATCACTACTCATGGAAGCAGCAGTCAAGAAATCAAAGGACGTATTGCATTAGGCAAATTCACTGCACAAGACCTTTTTAAAGTGTTGAAGAGCAAAGATGTCAGCTTGAGGACTAGGGTGCGCCTGATCCAAGCCATGGTATTTTCAATAACCTCATATGGATGCGAAAGCTGGACAGTGAATAAGGAAGACCATAGAAGAATTGATGCCTTTGGATTATGGTGTTGGAGGAGAATACTAAAAGTGCCACGGGCTGCCAAAAGAACCAATAGATCCATTTTGGAAGAAGTGCAGCCAGAGGGCTCCTTAGAGGCCAAGATGGTCAAAGTTTATCTCTCATACTTTGGACATATTGTCAGGATGGAACAGTCACTGGAGAAGAATATCATGTTTGGTAAGATGGAGGGTCAGAGAAAAAGAGGAAGACCCCCACCGAGATGGATTGGCCAGGTGGCAGCATCAATGGACTCAAGTGTGGCAACAGTAGTAAGATTGGCCCAGGTTCGGACAGTGTTTCATTCTGTTGTTCATAAGGTCGCTATGAGTCGGTGCCGACTAGATGGCACCTAACAACAACAATCTTCATATGATGTAGACTTCCACATCTTTCTCTTGAAGTGCTAGTAAAAGGAAATTCTTTCTGGGATTAGTCTATGAATGATGTGGCAACAACATGTCCCAACTATTTCTGATAAAGATAATTATTTGAGCTGCCAACATAGCAGCATCAATGGACTCCAGTGTGGCAACAGTTGTGAGGTTGGCCCAGGACCGGGTCGTGTTTTGTTCTGTTGTGCATAGAGTCGCTATGAGTCATTACCAACTCGATGGCACTTAACAACAACATCATCTATCAATTCAATAAACATCATTGCTTTTCAAAATTAAGAGAGTATTGGAGGATAATCAGTCATCATAGGTTTTACTTGGAAATGATCATACTCTTTCAGATATGTAATAGTTTACAGAAATCTTTTACTAGTTAATATATTGTTTTTGCCAGAGCTCATGAAGTGTACAGGGGTGAGGGGTGGGTTGAGTGGGTATTGTACCCAGAGAATGAATAGTTTTGTTTATATCTGTCTGATTAGGGGATATAAACAATACTGTTCATTCTCTAATATTCTAAAGTTAACACCAGGTCACCCAGAGTATATAGCTTTCCCAAATTTAGGATTGAGTGAAAACAAAATTTTAGCTGTCAGCATTAGTGTGACTTGTCGGTTTTATTGTGTATCTCTCCATATTGATTATATCTGAGAGCCTGTAAAAGATTTTAGTAAACAAAACAAAGCAAAATGTCCTTGTCATTACCACTTAGAACTGAAAATTAATTACAACATAGTCGAAGTCCTTCACATTTGTCCATGACATACATGGAAAATAACTTAAGCTCCCCAGAAGATTAAAAAACATCAAGGATGTTCTTGGTTCACAGACGCTGTGACAGTCCTGGTCATTAGTGAATGACTTGTTAATCTTTCCTGCTCCACCCCAGCTGGCCCTGAGAGCAAAATGAAAAATTGCTGTGGCAGGGAGCTGGGTTACTGATAAATTACAAAACAAAAAGAAGAAAGCTAAGCAGCACTTGAGTCCTGGTGTGGTGCTGTAGGATAAGCACTGGACCACAAGGTCAGCAGTTCAAACTCACCAGTCCCTCCTCGGAAACCCAACTACAGGGTTGCCATGAGTCAGAATCGATTTGATGGCATTTAGCAAAAACAATGAGCAGCACTTGCAGTGGGATATGTTGTTGTTAAGCGCCTTTGAGTCGGTTCTGACTCATAGCGACCCTGTCTAGGGTTTCCAAGGAGTGGCTGGTAGATTTGAGCCACCAACCTAGCGATTCAAACTGACCTTTTGGTCCAGCGCATTATCCTGCAGTGCCACATCTTTTGGCCCAGTTCATTTTCTTTCTGAGGAAATATGAGTGTCAAAAATGGCAAATCACAAAAGGAGCAGTTAGGAGGACTAGATTTTTACCATCTAACTCAGTATTGAAGAGTACCCAGAGGCACAGACTGGGTCACAGAGAGCAAGAATCACTCAAACTTTGAAAATGATACTATCGAAAGAAAATGCTGTCTGTCTGTACGTGGTAGAAATGTACAGCGAGTTGGCAGTATTGGCTCTCTAGAAGACTGAAGCATCTGAACAACAGCTTTCATACCATTTGTAGGAGAGACTTCTAAGCCAGCTCTAAATGCCAAAACACTTTCAAGGCTTATGAAGTTCTGGCTCTTTTCCTCCTTTTGTCAAAACACATTAAGTGACATTGTCCAGATATCGTTTACCAATTGGGTTGTTCTTATTGTTTGGTACCATCAGGTCAGTCTGTCATGTAGTGGCCCTGTGTAGAACAGAATGAAGCCCCACGTGGTCCTGAGCCATTCCCCTCAATTGTTAGGTTTGAGCTCATTGCTGCAGTCACGGTACCAGTCCATTTGTGAAACATCCATGTCATGAAGTACTACCCAGCAAGAAAAGGAACAAACCTTGGATGAATATGCTGAGTGATAAAAGCCAAACCCAAAAGGTTACAAACTGCCTGGTGCCATTTGTATAGCGTTCTTGAAATGACAAAATTTTGGAAATAGAGAACAGTGTAGTAGTTGCCAGGAATTAAAGGTAAAGTGAGGAAGGGTGGGGGCGTGGTTATAAAAGAGCAACAAGAGACATCTTTGAGGTGATGGAACTGCTCTGTATTTTCACTCTGGCAGTGGTCACAGGAATCTACACTTGTGACAAAAATTACACACACAGAAAGAAGGGCATATAGTACTGGAGAAATCTGAGTTAAGTCTGAAGGATTGTATTGATGTCAATTTCCTGGTTGCTGATATCACGCAATAGTTTGGGGGAAGATGGGTGACAAATATATAGGATATCTATATCAATTCATCAATTGCATATGAATCTGCAACTGTCTTTAAAAAAGGCGAGGGGCGGGGGGACTGCATAACCAGTATAAAATTCCTGAGGAAAACATCTAAGTGAGTCATCGAGTTTCCGAAGAGTGACTGGTAACTTTGAACCGCTGACCTTGTGGTTCAAACCAACCTTGCTGTCCAGTGCTTATCCTACAGCGCCACACCAGGGCTCCTCTAAGGAGCTTAGATGGCACTATAGGATAAGCACTGGACTGCTAATCGCAATGTCAGCAATTCAAACCCTCTAGCGCTTCTTGGGAGAAAGATGAGACTGTGTGTTCCCATAAAGATTTACAATGTCAGAAAGCCTTTAAAGAGTCAACATGAGTTGGAATTGACTTGAAGGCGGTGGATGGGTTGGTTGGTATAGTACCTGGTAGCACAAGTTGTTGTTGTTGTTAGTTGGTGTCATGTCTGCTCTGGCTCATGGTGACCTGTGCTTGATTGTTGGTATGGTTGAGTGCATCGATTTGGCTGTTGTGTTGATCCATATCATTGAGCGTTTTCCTCGTCTTCATTGACCCTCTACTTCCCTGGCACAAGTAGATGTTCATTAATCATGAATTAAATCAGATTGCATTGCTGTTAGTAAGTCCCATAAAGTTGGTTTCAATTCATAGCAACACTTTATAGGGTTTCTGAGGAGCGAGTGGTAGGTTTAAACTACTGACCTTGTGATTACCAGTCCAGTGCTTATCCTACAGAACTACCCTAGGACTGATTGAAAGAGACAGTAATGCCTTTCCGCTCCTAAACTTCATAATTTAACATCCTTGTTCATATAGATGTTTAGATTAAGGCATAGCTGTTCAAAGACATTATTAGACCCTGGTGTCTTCTGGTCTGAAAGATTATTCAATCAGAGAGGTCAGTTCTGGGAACTAAGACATTCCTGAAACTTTGCAGAAGAAATTGATTCACTAACCTAAAGCAAGCACCATATTCTCTCTCACCTCAGCTCTTGTAAGGTCCAGAAAGTCTCAGTATGTGAAAGCAGATATTAATATGGTGATACTGGTTCAAACCCAATGAATGAACTTCTTGCAGTAAATGCTAAAACTCAAAATAATGAGCAGTAACGTCTTCCTGCAGGTGTTATTTAATCACATTATCATTCTGCTTACTGGGTCATCAGTGAAGGCCACTAGGGTACTGTTGGTGTTTTCTCTGAACAGGGTGATTTTTGACTGAAGGATTTTATTGCATATGTCTGATGTTTTGGGTTATGCCTGATGGTTTTGGGCAAAAATAACAAGTAAAAAAAAAAATACGTATTTCTTTCTGTTTCGTTCCAATATTTTTTAAGAAACTTCTGAAACCTCCAGTTTTCATTTCTGTGGGGAAATTTTTATTCATGTACGTTTGCTTTAAAGTATAGTATCCCAAATGCCTGACATCTAGCTACATTTTCTCCCAATGTGTTTTGTTGGAACAAATTTAAAGTCCTACCCAAAGCTTTATTTCTCAATGCATTTCTCTTCAGTGCCATCTGAGATAGTTGCTCAATAACATGTCATGAGAAAAGTGTGAATTTGCAAAGCATTTGTCACTTTCTCCTCTGCTGCCAACATATATTTGATAACCATTTGTTCCTAACTATTTTGTCTGCCTGACTGTAGACATAAACATGCCAGCCCCATAAATTCATAAAGGTTAATGATAACACTAAAAGTAAGTTGGTGTATGCATGCCTGCGGACAACCTAAAAACGTTGGTTCTTACTTACATATCCTGATGATCGTATGAAGATATATGTGTTTATGAGAAATTTCCCACAAATTCCCAATGAAGATTCTGAGATATTTAAAGTAATGCTAGATGATAATCATCTATGTTACCCACTCATGGAATTTCCCACATGTGTAAGTGGCAGAAATGATACCGATTTGAATCATGGTTTTATAAAATATTATTTTATAGAGTATGATCTTTTTCAGGTAAATTTCCTTTGTGTCTTGAAAGAGTGAGGAAAATGTTGGTGTTAATTATTGCTATCTGTTCATTTTAATTCAGCGGTCCAGGCATGGATGGGAAGAAATGCAATGTCTGGATGTTTTTGCCTCTTGTATTTACCTTGTTTACTTCCGCTGGATTGTGGATAGTGTAAGTATTCTTTTATTTAATTGTTTAAAGATTCAGGGGCAGTGTAGATAAAAATATAAAGTTTTCATGATACATACCAATTGCTTGCTATCAAGTCTATTTCAACTCATAGTGATCCCATAGGACAGAGTAGAACTGCCCCATAGGGTTCCCACAACTGTCATCTTCACAGGAAACAGCCACATTTTTCTCCCGTGGAGCAGCTGATGGGTTCAAACCATTGACCTTTCAGTTAGCAGCCAAGAACTGAATCACTGGACCATCAGGGATTTTTTGATTATATATGATTGTTGCTGTTAAGTGCCATCGAGTCAGTTCTGACTCATACCAACCTTGTCTAGGGTTTCCTAGATGCAGCTGGTAGATTTGAACGCACCTACTTTGAAGTTAGCAGTCCAGTGCTTATCCTACAGTGCCACACCGGAACTCCATTTGATGATAGGCAACCCAAGCCTAAGACTGCTAACTACAAGTTTAGTGATTCAAATCCACCAGCAGCTCCTTGGAAACCCTATACAAGGTCACTATGAATCACATTACTTAACAACAGGAGCACATCCATATTCATATATGAATGTTGTTGTTAGATGACACTGAGTTAATTTTGACTCATGCAGGCCCCACGGGGTTTTCTAGGTATTTCTCCCATGGAATTGCTGGGGGGATTAGAACCACAAGCCTTTTGGTTAGCAACCAAATACTTAACCATTACACTATCGGATCTCCTTTATGTACTTATGACTACTTTGAAATAATATACTTGCTAACAACTTTGCTAAAGTCTCAGTTTCTCTTCTCTTTTTCTAAAACCCAAAATAAATAATAAGAGTGACTAATAAATTTACAAAACAGTAAAGAATACTCATTTGACTTTGTGCATATGTGTTCTTCTAGTAATGAATGTTCTATAAATGAATTGTATAACTTCATTATTTGTAAGTATTTGCTAAGTTGTTGATAGCATGCTGTAGATTCCATGCATAGTTGAGTTCATGCTCCAGTTACTTGTCAATGTTACAAAATATTATTATATTCTAAGTCTTGGTTTAACACAAAACAATCCCACATTTGCTAATTTCTAGTAATATTCACTTCAAGGAAATTATTTTTGCTCATTAAGACAGGTTAACACACTTTGCTGAGAAATTAGAAATCTTGCATTCTAATTTTAGTTTGCCAAAGGTTGAAGGTATTAATTAATTTATTTATTTTCCATTTTCCCCATTTAGATCATAATGATTACTATTAATTTGAGGGGTGTTTTGAAAATTAAAGGAAATGTTATCAATGATGATATTTGAGCTAGAAAGAGCTAGGTGATCCACAGGTAAAGACTTGTAGTAGTAGAGTATTTTCTCAGACCAAAATTTTTTTTTTAATTTTTAAAAAAAGGAAGTTGATTTAATACAAACAAGAAAGAAATTATTCTTTATAAATTTTTATTGTTTTCTTTGATAGATACTTTATAGCTGTGGAAGATGACAAAATTTTCCCGTTAAATTCGGAAGAAAGGTAAAGTTTATCTCTGGGTATTCCATTGCTTATCAATAAACTTAGCAAAAACCTTTGCCACTAGTGTGGTAGAACCCTGAACAAATAACCATCCTTTAACCTGTGCTTCTATGATTTTGTTCTGCAGAAAACCTGCTGTGAAGCATGCACCATATATAAGGTAATTGACCATTCTCCTATGATTTGTTGTATCTTATTAAAAATTGGAGGAACGTGGTGGTTCCATACAATAAACATTGGATTGCAAACCATAAAATCTGCAGTTCGAGTCAATCAGTCACTCCTCAGGAGAAAGATGAGATTTTCTGCTCTCTTGAAAATGTAAAGTGTCAGAAACCCAATATAGGGTCACTATGAATCAGAATCGACTCGCCGACACTTAACATCAGCAGCATTCAAAGCTGGGAGGGGTATGGAATTTAATATGGGAACAATAAAATGTCTCATGTTTTTCAAGTTTCGCAGGTGATGAACCTCCTGCAAGCTGTGTGTTTAGTCAAGTAATGAACATGGCAGCATTTCTAGGTAAGAGCAGCAGAAAGCATGCTTTATATATTTAGATGCATTTCTTTTTTTTTTAATTTTAAGTCTGCCCAAACCCATATCCAAATTATGGTGGGCTTAGTTGACAATTTGCTATCATGTCACTATATTGAAGCCAGCTTTTGGTTTTGAGGGTCTTTCTTTTTTTTCTCCTAAGTTCTTTACTTTTCTCATAAGTTCCTTGTTTCTCTTACAAGGAGCTACATTTTCTCTCTTACGGCACATGAAGTAACATATTTCATGTGCCATAAAATACTGCCTGAGATGCAATTGTTGGCTTTGGAAAGCATACTTTATTTATCCCTTCACTGAAAAAGATAAAAAAATATATAAGCACTGATAAATATTGATGTGTTCTATGAAGAAAAACGTGGCATCAGGATTGGAGGAAGACTCATTAACAACCTGCGATATGCAGATGATACGACCTTGATCGCTGAGAGTGAAGAGGACTTGAAACATTTACTTATGAAGATTAAAGAGCACAGCCTTCGATATGGATTGCATCTAAATGTCAAGAAAACAAAAATCCTCACCACTGGACCAATAAACAACATTCTTATCAATGGAGAAAAGATTGAAGTTGTCAAGGACTTCATTCTTCTTGGATCAACTATCAACACTTGCGGAAGTAGCAGTCAAGAGATCAGACGACGTATTGCACTGGGCAAATCTGCTGCACAGGAACTTTTTAAAGTGTTGAAGAGTAGAGATGTCAGCTTGAGGACTAGGGTGCGCCTGACCCAGGCCATTGTGTTTTCAATAGCCTCATATGGATGCGAAAGCTGGACAGTGAATAAGGAAGATCATAGAAGAATTGATGCCTTTGAGTTGTGGTGTTGGAGGAGAGTACTGAAAGTGCCATGGACTGCCAAAAGAACCAATAAATCTGTTTTGGAGGAAGTGCAGCCAGAGTGCTCCTTGGAGGCCAGGATGGCTAAACTTCGTCTCTCCTACTTTGGACATATTGTCCGGAGGAAACAATCGCTGGAGAAGGATGTCATGCTGGGTAGGGTGGAGGGTCAGAGAAAAAGAGGAAGACCCCCAACGAGATGGATCAGCCAGGTGGCATCATTGATGCACTCAAGTGTGGCAGCGGTAGTGAGGTTGGCCCAGGATCGGACATTGTTTTGTTCTGCTGTGCATGGGGTCGCTATGAGTCGGTTCCGACTTGATGGCACCTGACAACAACAACAACAAATATTGATGTGTAGAGATAGTGACTTAAATCTAAAAACTCACCATTAACGTTAGGATGACACATGCCTTGTGACTACACATATATCGAGCTGGCAAGTGAGAAGTAAGTGGGTGAAAAAAACCCCTTGGTACTTATGTATTGTTGTTAGGTGTTGTCAAGTTGATTCAGACACATAGTGACCTTCCAGTAGAACTGGCCCATTGTTTTTTGTTTTGTTGCTGCTGTTGTTGTTATATTTTTATTGTGAATTATGTGTTAGTTTACATGGGAGAACATTAGCTTTACATTCATCCTATCGTATATTGTTTCATTGCCATGATTACAATCCCCTCCATGCATCATCAAACCACCAAAGGGTATAACCCACAAACCTGCCCCTCAGCCGTCAGCACACCGTCCCTCTCCCTGTCTGGGACTAGACCCATTGGGTTTTAATCTTTACTGCTAAGCTGCTGGTTTGAACCACCAACCTTTTGGTTAATAGTTGGATGCTTAACCATTGTACTATCAGAGCTTTTATGGTACTCAAAATCCAGACCCAATTCCCCATTTCTTCACAGGAGTCAAGGCCTTCACTTAATATCCTGCCCTCCCTTGTTCTTTGAAAGCACTCTGGTAGCGTAGTGGGTTACGAGTTGGGCTGCTAATCTCAAGGTCAACAGTTCGAATATATCAGCTGCTCTGCAGGAGAAAGATGAGGCTTTCTACTTCCATAAAGATTTACAGCCTCAAAGACCTTGTATAGAGTCACTATGAGTCAAAACCAACTCCCTCCCTCCCCCTCACCCCAACTCACACCTGGCATGTAACCACCACCACCTTGTTCTTGTACTTCTGTGATCCAGTTAGTCTTCAGGGGATTGTGGAAACCAACCCTGGTCTCTATCTTGTTTGAATTCTCCTGGGTACATCATCTCAAGGTCAAGCTTTCACAGTGAAAATACACTTAACAAAGCATGTATCTACTGTTCAGCAGTTCTTCCATGATTGCATATAAGTGCTTCACACTGGTCACCATTCTCCCTATCTCTGCCCATATTGTTTCATCACTGTTAACACTGTGCCCCTTCAAGTTCTCGTCCATGTTTTAGAGTGACTGCTGGCCATTTAATCTCGTATTGATAATTCTTTAAAGGAGTGAGTGCAATGCTCAAGACAAATATTCTTTGTTAAATGAGCTAAATTGTTCTTTACTTCAAAGACGACTCCGTGGGATAATTTTGGTTCAAGACTTTAAAGTTGTTTTAGGCAATAGATTTAGAGGTTCCTCAAGCCTCAATGTGCCTAGTAGGTCAGATCTTCAGTAAGAACTTGAAGTTCTGTTCTACATATTTTTTGGTCTTCCTTTTGATCAAAATGTCAGTAATGATAACTGGGCACTATCCATTTCTTCTCGTCTCATGGTGATGGAGCTCACGGAGGCAATTAGACCTTGTAGTGTCTTTTAAAGGGTTAAGTAGCAATCATTATTGGTGTGCTGTTGGGAAAAGACCAGTGACAGCTAAACCTTTCAAAAATGGTTTTCTAGAAGTGGCTTTTTGTTTTTGTTTGTTTATTTTGTCTTTTTTTGTTGAGTATTCAAGTTTTCTTATGTGTTGTTAAAGTTATCTGAGGGTGTTTTAAAATGTTCATGGGAAAATGGAATTAAAAGATAATGGCATGTTTCTGTGAAATTTGTAAAATCTCCTAGTATAACACATCTGCCAATTCAGTATTTTTCATGTGTACAATTTTGTTGTTGTCATGTGCCATCGAGTCGGAACCGACTCATAGCGACCCCATGCACAGCAGAACGAAACAATGTTCGATCCTGGGCCAACCTCACC